GGGTTACATAAGAACATAAGAGACGGCAATGTTGGATCCGGCCAAAGGCCCATCCAGTCCAACACTCTGTGTCACACAGTGGCCAGAAATACCAGTGCCATCAGGAGGTCCACCAGTGGGGCCAGGACATTAGAAGCCCTCCCACTGTTGACCCCCCCCAAGCACCAAGAAGACAGAGCATCACTTGCCCCAGAGTCCCTATCTATACCCTGTGGCTAATAGCCACTGATGGACCTCTGCTCCATATGCTTATCTAATTCCTTTTTGAAGCCGTCCATGCTTGTAGCCGCCACCACTTCCTGTGGCAGTGAATTCCAAGTGTTAATCACTCTTTGGGTGAAGAAGTACTTCCTTTTATCCATTCTAACCCGACCGCTCAGCAATTTCATGGAGTGCCCACGAATTCTTGTATTGTGAGAAAGGGAGAAAAGTACCCCTTTCCCTACCTGCTCTATCCCATGCATAATCTTATAAACCTCGATCATGTCACCCCTCAGTCGTCGTTTCTCCAACCTAAAGAGCCCCAAGCGCTCTAATCCTTTCTTCATAGGGAAAGTGTTCCAACCCTTTTATCATTCGAGTTGCCCTTTTCTGCCCTTGGCAGCTCCAGGTTGGGAAATACCTGAAGATTTGGAGGGGGGTCGAGTCTGAGGAGGAGAGGGATATAGTGCCATAGAGTCCACCTTCCACAGTGGCCATTTCCTCCAGGTGAAGTGATCTCTGTCGCCTGGAGATCAGTTGTAATCCCAGGAGATCTCCAGCTGCTGCCTCGAGGCTGTGCAACCAAAAGAGTATCATAGAAAAAGCAGAATGCAGATATCAACATAAGCCATGATAAGATAACTATGCTGCTTCACACAAAATATAATCAAAGAATGTAATAATTTAGATAACAGCAAACTAGTGAAGATACAAATACAAAATATTTAAGGTAAAGCAACTATTAACCATCAGTTGCGGAACTAAGCCGTTTACAAAGGCAAAGCTATACCTGATGTAAGATCAGTCCTTGTTCCCAATCAGATTTAAAATGCCAAAAGGTTCATATAACGTTTCAATAGTGGAATATTAAAGTCTCTATTAAAAAAATCACAAAATCTTCATAGAAAAATCCCTTCAACATAGATGCTTTTGAGAGATTTAAAGTGATGAGAACCTTGTTTCTTCCTTTCTGATAAAAGAACAAAGAACACTTTCGCAACAATCTCTGCCACAGCCAACGAGTCCCGCCGGCTGGCCTCTGCAAACTGTTTCCAGCAAATCTTCTAGGCAGGGCCGGCTTACTCACTAGGCAAACTAGGCACTCGCCTAGAGCGCGCCAGCCCTTAGGGGCACCAAACTGGCACACACACCCCGCTGTCCTGGTTCAGCTGCAAACACTACTGAATTTTAAACATGTTATGATCTTTCTGATGATACAAACACCAATTCCACCAAAGAACTTAGCCCTCTGGGCACAGAAGGGTCACTCAGCTGAGTCAAAGAAGAAATAAGCTGGGGCCGGCCCTGCTTCCAGGGCTGCACAGAATACAGTCACAAACCATCCATAAGTCTTCTCAAATTCTTCTCAGAACTCAGTGATTTCCAATGGACATTCCTATCAGCACACTGACAAAATTAGTGCTTCAAAGTCATGCCCAAGGAACACCAGGGCAGGCAATGGCAAACCATCTCTGAAACACCTCTTGCATCGAAAACCCTAGGGTCCAATGTTCCCTCTAAGCTGTGGAGTCTTGTGAGCACAAATTCTACTTTGTGAACTCCTGGCATTAAATTTGTGAGCGGGCGATTTGGCTACTGCATAAATTAGTTTGCTCTGGAGCCATCCTTCCTGAGCTGAGACAAAAATGTGTGAGCCGGAGGCTAAAAAACTGTGCGCTAGCTCACACTAACTCAGCTTAGAGGGAACACTGCTAGGGTCACAAGAAGTCAGCTGTGACTTGACGGCCACCCACCCACCCACAAGCAGAAGAGCTGTTCCAAGCAGAGGTGAAAATAAAAGGATGACATTTTTTAAAAGACAAATCACCAAGGTTTGATGGAATTCAGCAGCGATTTAAAAAAAAATTACAAATGTGAACTTGTGGCAAAAATATGTAACATTCATTAAAAAATATGTTACATTCAGAGCTGCTAATGTAACACCAATTATTTAAAAAAGGATCCCAGGGGAGATCTAGGAAATTACAGTGTGTGTCAGTCTAATTTCCCAGGTAAATTGGCAAAAGGTAATACCAAAGCTAGAATAACCCAGCTGTTACTGAGGATGATTCAGGGAAAGGAATGACCTGCTTGAACCTTTAGAATTAATTCAGACTCTCACCAAAGCATGCACGGGGTGATCTCAGGAACATTATATTCAGGCATTCATAAACCATTAGAGCAAATCCCTTGCCAAAAGCACCTAAGTAAACTCAGCAGTTGTGGCATAAAAAGACATATGCTCTTGGGGATTGGAAACTGTTTGAATAAAATGAAAGAGATGAAATAAACAGTCAAGATTCACAATGGAAGGAAGGGAAGTAAGCTGTATGGCTTCTTAATGATATATATATATCAGGACCATTGCTGTTGTATAGTGTAGTCACAAAATGATCTACAATTAGGGGCGAACAGTGAGTAATCCAGTTTTACAGATGACTTGGAATTAATCAGGACGACACCATGCAGATTTGGCTATGAAAAGCTGCAACAGAATATCTGAAAGCTGGGTAAATATGCAACATAACAAAATGGCAAGTAAGCAAAAATTGACACACAGTGGAGTAAAATACATCCAGCAATCTATACTCTTTTTGTTCTTTAAAAATCAGCAAATGAACACTGGTATAATGTTATAACAATCTGTGTATTACTTCCTGTGAATGCCCAGAGGTAATTTTTAAAAGTAAGTCTTTAGTCCTTTTTTAAAGGAAATATCCCCTTCCTCTTTGAGTCTCTGCAGCAAAAAAGCGCTAGAGACTTAGGGATGTTGCTGCTACTGCACTGCATCAGCAGCACTGGGAAAACTGCGCAAGCACATCCCCTTGTGAAAAGCAAGTAAACCTAGCAGTATCATAGACTTTTCATACAAGTCTGTAGTGCAGCTGCATTTGGAGTACAGTGTATAATTTGGGTTGCTCCATCACTGTGATCAAAGGGATTGGAGCACTTTCCCTTGAGGAAAGAATCTGAACTTTATTGTTTATGACCGGAGTTGGTGATATGACAGAAGTGTATAGTATCATGAATAGTATGGATACAGGTTTTTCTTTCTTTCTCCTCATGCTAAAACATGAAGTCACCCATTAACTGGCAGTACGTTCAGGACAGATGGAAATATGTTTGTTGTTGTTCAGTCGCACGGTCGAGTCTGACTCTGCGACCCCATGGATCAGATCACGCCAGGCCTTCCTGTCTTCCGCTGTCCTCTGACGTTGGCTCAAGTTCATGTTCGTTGCATCTATGACACTGTCTAACCATCTCATCCTTTGCCGTCCCCGTCTTCTTTGGCCTTCAATCTTTCCCAGCATCAGGGTCTTCTCTAGTGAGTGCTCCCTTCTCATTTGGTGGCCAAAGTATTTGAGCTTCATTTTCATTATCTGGCCTTCCAGGGAACAGTCAGGGTTGATTTCTTTTAGGATTGACTGATTTGATCTTTTTGCAGTCCAAGGGACTCTCAAGAGTCTTCTCCAGCACCATAGTTCAAAAGAATCTATTCTTCGGCGCTCGGCCTTCCTTATAGTCCAACTCTCGCAGCCATACATGACTACTGGGAATACCATTACTTTGACCATGCGGACTTTTGTTGGCAGGGAGATGTCTCTACTTTTTATAATGCAGTTTAGGTTCGCCATCGCTTTCCTCCCAAGAAGCAGGCGTCTTTTAATTTCATGGTTGCTGTCACAGTCTGCGGTGATCTGGGATCCCAGGAACGTGAAGTCTGTCACTACTTCCACGACTTCTCCTTCTATTTGCCAAGGAGTGTTGGGGCCAGATGCCATGTTCTTAGGTTTTTTTTTTATGTTGAGCTTCAAGCCCACTTTTGCGCTCTCCTCTTTGACCCTGAGCAAGAGGCTCTTTAGGTCCTCTCTGCCATTAGAGTGGTATCATCTGCATATCTGAGGTTGTTGATCTTTTCCCCATATGTACTGCTAAATAAAAAATGTAGCTGGCATGGAATTTGCTGGCCTAAGATATAAAGATGCTCATTAACTGAGGAAGCTTTGAAAAGCATTAGACATCTGGAGTGATCTCCCCAGTGTATAATCCACCTTCTCTTCCATGTTTTCCTTTAGGATTCAGATTGGCAGATAAGAGGAGAGGGTTTGATCTGCTTCCTCACAGAGCAGCAAGCGAGTTCGTTTCCTACAATCAGAATAATAATTATAACGAGAACAAATTCTTGACACGGACTCAGTTTGGATGATGGTTGGTTGAAAACATGCCTAGTTCATTCCAGAGTCTGGCATAGCGTTGAATAGAAATGGTATTCCTTGAGGACTTCTAGTGACTCCTGAACAATGCCGTGGCTGACAGGAATATGTGAGGTTCCTCTCCTTGAAGAACACTTGCCATCGCTTGTAGTTGGGCTTGCCGGGGAAAGTTGACTTTAAAGTGGAGCCTCAGCGTTAAATTCTTCTTTTCCATTTCTTCTGCCACTTTCCCCGCTCCCTCTTGGCCTGCGGCCAGGGGCATTTGCTGCTGCTTGTAATCTGTTGAGAACCGCCCCTATGAATGGGTAAGAAGAAACTGTCTCCCTGCATGGTGCATGGGCTGGGCCCTCTTTTTTTTTTAATTCACAAGGTGAGTGAGTCATGCTGAAGGTAAGCGTTTTTTCTTCCTGTCTAGAGTGATTCAAGCAGCGGAGGTGATAAAACCACCTGAGGGGGGGGGGAGAGAACAGGCACAGGGGAACAGTCCGCAGCTGCAACTCCCCCAGCCCGATCCTCCAGCATTTTGGTTAGAACCGTGTTGGACTGGAGAACCTTGTTGGAGGACGTAGTCCTGATTTCCCTGGAATGGCTCCACACTGGCTGGTAACTGTGAGCTGCCTCCTTGCTGCCTCTCTCCGCTTTCCTGCAGCTGTTGGAACTCAACGAAGAGAAGGTAAGGCTTTGCAAGCACAAGTAGCGTCATCCTGCTTGGGAATGGATTCCCTTTAACGACAGGTTTTTCTCCTCCCTTTCCCTTTTTGGCCTTCCTCAGGGGGGTTCTCCAAGCTGCTGCATAACCACTTGATGTGCAAGAGCAAGAGAACAAACTTCTCTCCTTTCTGTGTATGTAGAACTTCCCCGGCGCTGGGCAGAAAAGCTTTTCAGGGCAGTGGAGATCTGGCTGGCTGGGCAAGTGCTTCATAAGTTGCAATTCTTTCCCCAGGCCTTGGTCCCCCTTTCGCCTCCAGCCATACTTACACCAGCTCACCTTGGAGGTAGATGGGAAAGCATGCACTGTTGTTGCTTAGCAACTGCATGCTGACTTTCTTATTCCCTGTGCCTTGGTTGGATGGTTGGGCTGTAGCATCCAATAGGAAGGCTAGTTAGCAACCAAGATAAGTGTTCCATGCATCCAATAGGTATGTCAGAGTAGACATGGTTCATATGCAGAAATGAGTTGTGGGTGGGTGTTGTTCTCTGTAGCAAACACATAATACATTGCATTTCTTCATTCCTAAAGTTAATTTAGAGTATAGATCATCTAGGGATCTTTAAACATAGTATGCTTTGTTTGCCCCCCCCCCCCATTGTTTGACATTTTATACCTTTTCTGTACTTTTTCAATGCTAGACAATTCAAGACAGGGGGAGGGAAACATCATTTATCAATTGTTAAAGGAGTTTTAAGAGCTCATGCTGAAGACAGAAATTCATTTGGGGGGGCCTATCAAACAAGCATATGCAATTTGTGTGTGTACTTAAACAGCATTCAAAGTGTTCTCTCCACAAAGATCTTTTGTACGTTAACATGCTTCCTGTGGTGCGGTTCACTCAGCACTGAGCCGAGCCAGGGTGTCTTCAGAGCTTCTTAACACTTTCATAATAAATTAAGAGGTCCCCAACCCTTTGGGGCCTGTGGGCACCTACATGGTTCATATGCAGAAATGAGTTGTGGGTGGGTGTTGTTCTCTGTAGCAAACACATAATACATTGCATTTCTTCATTCCTAAAGTTAATTTAGAGTATAGATCATCTAGGGATCTTTAAACATAGTATGCTTTGTTTGCCCCCCCCCCCCATTGTTTGACATTTTATACCTTTTCTGTACTTTTTCAATGCTAGACAATACAAGACAGTGGGAGGGAAACATCATTTATCAATTGTTAAAGGAGTTTTAAGAGCTCATGCCGAAGGCAGAAATTCATTTGGGGGGCCCTATCAAACAAGCATATGCAATTTGTGTGTGTACTTAAACAGCATTCAAAGTGTTCTCTCCACAAAGATCTTTTGTACGTTAACATGCTTCCTGTGGTGCAGTTCACTCAGGACTGAGCTGAGCCAGGGTGTCTTCAGAGCTGCGTGACACTTTCATAATAAATTAAGGGGTCCCCAAACCTTTGGGGCCTGTGGGCACCTTTGGGATTTTGAAGGGTGGTGATGAGCACCATCCCAAAATGGCTTTCAAAGACGGTGGGTCTGAATGGAACACATTCCTCCTTGCATCTCCTGGAAAGAAGGAAAGCCTGAAAAGGAAATGGAATTAAATGCTGACTAAGGTGCTTAACCCAAGGTGCTTACCACTCCTCTGGTCCCCTGGTAGAAAACCCTTTCATTTGAATGAGGAACCCCAGTGTACCCTCCTGTTAATTCTCCTATAGCTGGGGGGTTCATTTTTGAAGTGCGGGCTTGTGCAATTTTGCCCAGGTGACTATGATGCACCATTATACAAGTAAATCCACTATGTGAAAGTGGGGGAGGACTGCCATAAAAATGGATCCCTCAGTGCAGTCTTATATAACAACCCTGATCATCCCCTGAACATCCAAGTTTATTTCAAACTCCGCCATCTTGCCACTTAAAGATAAGCTGTGCTTCAAGGAGTGAGACCTTGTGCCTAAGTGACCCAGGAACACATACAAATCAGATACATTTGCCAACCCTGGGATGGGAAAACCCTGGAGATCTGGGGGTAGAGTTTCAGGAGGGATCTCAGCAGGATATAATGCCATAAAGTCCCCCCTCCACAGCAGCCATTTTCTCTTGGGGAAATGGGTTTTGTAATCTGGAGATCAGTTTCAATTCCAGGACATTTCCAGGTCCCACCTAGGGTTGCCAAGTCTTACCTTCGGGGGGGGGGAACTCCCGGCCCTCCCCGGGAGTTCACCCGGAAGTGACATCATCACGTCAGGGATGTTGGGGGCGGGGCCAGTATCATTTGAGGGGAAACCATAGAGTTTTCCCTCGAATGACAGAGCGTCCCCCCACAACGTGCCAGATGCGATGACATCACCTCTGGGTGATGTCATCATGCTGGGCACGTCTCCGTGCTCCTGGCACTTTGGGGATGGGTTTCCCCCCGGCCGACCCAATTAGCGGGGGTTTCCCTGCCCCCCCGGGGCACCTTGCAACCCTAACCCCACCTGGAGAAATATGTATCTTAGAGGAACAAGAACATTTTACCAGTGCAGAAGTCTGCAATCCCAGAGGTGAACCCCAGGTAGAGATTAAATTTTTCTGGACATTTTGAAGCCATGGAAACTTATTTTTTCATTGTTTTAAAACCTGAAAATTTACTGAAACATATCCAACACTTACTTATGAGGTCTAAACTTATTTAACGTTTTAACAACAGAACATGTTTCATGTTTATGTTAATTAGTGTGAAATTGTAGTGTTCATCATATTTGTGCAATTTAAAAGGATTACTGCCTGCGCATTCTTTGAGCAAAACTGCAGATACAGCCAATACTAGAGAGAGAATTGTGAATGGATGTCCCCTGTGCTACAATAGCATATGCGAAGCTGGACAAAAACAGTTATACACTGACAAGATTAGCTGTATATTTTGCTAGCAAGTTAAACTTTATAACATTGAACTGATCAATAGTGTGTTCTCACATACATTATAGCTCATTAATTATGGAAAAAATCAGCCACATTTAAAGAATAAATTGATGCAGGAATTATCATTAAATAATCCTGTAGATTTTTACATTAAAAATCTTCATATTACACATTCTGGATGAGTAAGAGCTTATCTCAAAAAAAGCATTTCCTAGGAGTTTTCTTCAGTGCTATTTTTTTTCTTTGGAACTTTTTAGAGGGGGAAACTTTTAAAGAAATCTGAGTGTTTTGTGGGCCTTCATTTCATGGTATTCCACCTTTCCACACTATAAATTAATATAACTTTCACATCTATTTTACTATCTTGGTTTCCATTGAAGAAATCTGGGAAACATGTAGTTTGTTCACGGTCCTGAGAATTCCCTGCTACAAATGGCTATACACACACTAATACTCTAGATGTGACAGAAGTAAGGTTCTGAAAGCGAGAATGACTGTTAAATTAGTTTAAGTGAGGAATACAGAATGAACTCCCAAGTAAGATTTATCAGCTTCTTAATTTCCTGGACTTATAAATAGGCCACAGCATTTAAAAACTGCAAAGTGTAATCAGAAAAAAAGAAGACTAGCCAAATGATAACATTAAATTGGGGCCCCCACTGTAGTGAAATAAACTTGGATTCATTAAAACCACTCTCGTCCCTCAGAACATAGTGGAATGTACAACATGGATTGCCTGGCTAGTATGTTTTTGAGAAACTTGAGTGAAAAGATCAGGTAGGCCTGAGGGAAACAGTGCTGGCTGGTGCCCAGTGGGGCTTGTAGGCCAGGGCAGCAAATGGTGGGCGGAGCCAGAGCAAGTTAACTCTAATTTTGTCCCCATCCTTGTCCCTTCAAGCGCACCAATAAGTTTCTTAACATATAAATGAACTTAAGAAGAATCTCTTCCCTTGGTGTGTGGTCATATTTGATTGTATTAAGGGGAATACGGTGCAGCCTCCACCACTCGTTCCAACTATGTTATCTTACATTAAGATTCATTCCAGAGAGAGAGAGCAGACCTAGGGGTAAACTAGCACTATGAGCCCATGTCTAGATCCCACATGCTCCACCTCCTCCCATACATTAGCACAGAAGTGTATATGCCTCCAAGTTATCAACTGAAACTGGGCATGTTTTTATTTTAATTTATTAAAATGCTTGACATTCAAATTATGTGACTTAGATGGTTTACAAACAACTATACAGACATTAGAACATCGATTTAAGAAACATTGCTGTCAAACAAAAGAACCAAGCCAATGGATAATGCTTATGGAGTGCTCTCTGTTCAGTGTTTTGGGATCTGGTCTGATGGTTTTTCCTTCTGTCTTCTCCCTTTTTTACCTGCCCTTTTTACCTACCTCATGTAGGTGAAGTTAGCTCGGAATTCTTTCTGGTTTCCAAACCATTTGAATGTCTTATGGTTAAGATCTGGAATTTCTTCAATCAGCTGTTATCCTATGGACAGCATTGCTAATTCATTGAGCCTGTCTTAGGACATGGTAGGGTTGCCAAGTCTAATCTACTTACCGGCGGGGGAGCATCGCCGGGCTCCGGGAGCTCTCGTCCGACGTGTGTGTGTGCGCATGCCACCAGCATGTCCTGGAAGTGACGCGCTACGTCGATCACGTTGGGGGCGTGGCCCCTATCATCAGACGGAAAACCATCAAGTTTTCCCTCCGATGATCGGGGCCACGCCCCCAACATGATCGACGTGGTTGCGTCACCTCTGGTGATGCAGCCACACTGCCCTTTGGGAGGTGAGTTCCAAAGCGGGGGTTTACCCGCTACCCGCCCCCACTTGGCAGCCCTAGGACATGGTATTTCTCAGGAAAGAGTTTATTCTTTTCAGAGCAAAGAATGCTCACTCTGCTTCTGCTGTTGTCACTGGAGCAGTCACTGTGATTCTCAATAACTTCATTGTTCCTGCAAAAACATGTCTCCAGGTCCTTGTCCAGAAGTGTCTTTGGTAGGGTTGAAGCATCCTTGATATTGGTGGAGCTCTTGCCCATTTTGCAAGACAGAAAGCTCTGTCTTCGGCTTCCGTTATATATATTATACCATGGGG